TGACCATCCCCCCTGGGGGGTGATTTCTCGCTTTCTGTCTCTCTGTCTCTCTCTGTCTGTCTGGCGAGCACACACGCCCTATAGCAAAAACCTCTCCAAAAAAAAAGAATATATGCTGTAAATAATCTTTAATTATAGATTCCTCCTCTTCTTTCTTTTTTCTTTTTTAGGATTTTGCCATAGGGTGTGTGCATTCAGTAGAAAGAGACAGAGGGAGGGAAAGTGAGAAATAACCCCACTGCAGTTTCTTCTCCAGTATCGTCTTGGGATTTTGAGCATGCATGCACATGTGCCTGGCATGATTTTCAGGCTGCTGGGACTCAGACTGTGGTCAGCTATGTGGAAATTCAGCACCTTAACCACCATGCCACTTGCTGGTAGCCTGTAACCCCTTCTTTTAACGAATGTACAGTATCTCTTTGTTTAGGTATACCATAATTTAAATCCTCTACTAATAGACCCTTAGATAGTTTTTAATCTACATTACTAAAAATAATGGTGGCATTGAATATTGCTCTACATTCATTTCTACTCATTTGTGGAAACATATCTGAGAAATAATTTTCTAGGTGTTAATTTACTGAGACAAAGAGTTTTTAAATTTTATAGACTAAAATTCTGAGAGATGGGGCTGGCAGGTGGCATGGTGGTTGAGGTGCTGGATTCTCACATGGTATTATTGCAGTTCATCTCAGACCTGACAGCCTGAAGATCACAGAAAATACATAGACAGATAGATAGATAAAGAAAACAAAATTGTAAGACAGGTTGTATCAGTTTACTTTCTTAAGTGTCAATTTTGCTATTCCTTGCCTAAATGGTGTTATCACATTTGAGCGTAAATGTTGTTTTGGTCTTCATTTGTCTTCCTTTTTAAAGTAATGTAAACCTTTTTTTTTTTTTTTAATGTTTAAAAGCCATTTGTATTTTTTAATGAACCATTTGTTTATGTCTTTGGCTTGTGTGTGTGTGTGCCTTTTGAAGAAGCTAATCTCTGTTAGACACTAAATAACATTTCTAAAGCTGGTTATACTAAGCTTACTCCTGTGGGGAAGAAAAAGGGAGTGGTATTGCTTGTTTTTGAAAAGCCTCAAATCAGATAGGTGGAAGAATGCCCCTCCCCCCCAGTTTGTCATTTGTTTTTCAACATTATCTTGTTCCTGGGCAGAATTTCATTTTGTTTAGATAATTTAATGTCTTATAATAGATCTTCCTCATGGGTTTTGTTTTGCATGTTAGTAATAGCTGCCCAATTTTCAAGTACCTACAAATGCCTTTTTTTTTTTTCCCCTGCCACTAGGACTTGTGTAAGAGCTGTTGTAATATATGGAGGAACCCAGTTGGGGCATTCAATTAGACAAATAATACAAGGCTGTAATATGTTATGCGCTACTCCTGGGAGATTGATGGATATCATAGGTAAAGAAAAGGTAGGCCCTAGAGAGTTAACATAGTTATGAGACTAATATTTTTGTAGGGGGAAGAATGGGATATAAAAAGGATATATTTACTAAAACATTATTTATATACTAGGCGCCATCAGATTTTTTGAATGCATTCTGTGTAAATGGATCCTCAAGGTAATCCCAATAGGAAATAAATGGTATTTTTCACTTTGTACTTGGAAAAACAAGCTCAGTGAGATTATGTAATTTATTTAAAATCTCTCAGTTAGCTCTGGTAAGTGATAGAGCTAGGGTTAGAATCTAGGTCTGTCTCCAGAATCCATATTGTGCATACCATTACACTGGGAGGAAATAAAACGAATACTTTTATCCAATTTCATGTATGAATTGATGAAATAATTTTTTTCCAGAATACACCATTTGTGACTTCAATAATTTGTCTCCATTTAAGTGTGCAAATGATATTAACTAGGATTGTTAACTTTCTAAGTCCTTCAGAAAGAGATACTTTAAAAAATTTTGGTAGAGAGTTTATGTACTTGCTGAAAAGAGAGAGAGTGAGAGAGAGGCAAAGTGAGAAAGTACTCCTCTCCCCATGTGGGATGGTCATACCATAAGCATTCATATCATACCATAAACAAACATCTGCATGTTTGCGGATACACGCACACATGCCTGGCATATTTAGCTACTAGGTCTGGGCCTTGAACCTTGCAGTCAGCCATGTGGGATCTAGCTGTATTAACCACCACACTATGCCACTGGCTTACCCTCTCACAAAAAAGAAATTTTAGTGGCTGGCCTTATGGCCTAGTGATTAAGGGAGCCTGATCCCACATGGCTATCCATGAGGTTCAAATCCCATCCACAGCGGTTCGTAAAACAATGCCCTGGGCACATATGCATACATGCCCATTATATACCAGATTATTATATCTCTAAGTCAGTATTTTAAGTTCACTTTAATGTACTTGATTTAGTTTCTTTAGGCTCTTCTCTAAAGGGGCTACTCAAAACATGTTCTTTCTGCATAAAGGTACTTTTCTTAGGATACTAACTAAAAATATCAAGAGAAATCCACTTTACTTTCTCACTGAATATTTTCATGGTGGTATCAAAGTCTCTTGCCTTCTTTTTGAAAAGGTATTCTGCTTATAGTAATAAATGTTCATATAAAAGTAAGAGAAGTTTCCCAATTCCTGAGTGGTTAGAGACTGGGGGATTTATTAAAGATTTAAAGGAGTCAGGGAAAAAAAATTGCTAGTTATAAGACATTTGAATATGTCCTGCTATTGGGATATTTTATTTATTTTTAAAGGGCTTTTAAAAAATAATTATTTATTTATTTATTTATTTAACTTGCTATAGTCATCATAGAGAGATGGTGGGGAGTTGAGTGGGGGAGTGAGAAAGCAAGCTGCCAGGTCCAGGACTCTAATCTCACTTGGCTACATGGAAGTCCAGCACACCAGTCACTACACCACTTGCTGGCCCCAGGATATTTTATTTCTTAAAGAGTCTGAATTTATCCTATAATTCAGTCTATCTGGTGCCATCCAGTACAGTAAACATTATATGTCATAATTTAAATTTGAAAGTTATAAAATTAAAAATTCAGTTTCAGGACCAGCAGTTAGCATAATGGCTATGTTGCTGTATTCCCAGGTAGTCGACCGCAGTTCGCGTCCCGGACCCGGTGGCTTAAAACTCACGCTGGGCATGTGTGCGTGCGTGCCCAAGATCCCGAGAGGAGAATGGAGGAGAAGGGATTGTGGCATGGCCATCCCCCCCCCGGGGGGTGATTTCTTGCTTTCTGTGTCTCTGTCTGTCTCTGTCTGGTGAGCGCACGCGCCCTATAGCAAAAACCTCTCGACAAAAACCTTTCCAAAAAAAAAAAAAAAAAATTAAGTTTCATGGGACTGGCAGGTGATGTGATGGTCAAAGGCACTGGATTCCCACATGGCCGACTGCGATTCAGGTCCTATACCTGGAGACTTGCTTTCTTATTTTATTTTTCTCTGTCTTGTCAAATTAAAAAATAATAATAGCAAATGGAATAAAATAAATAATTCTTTAAAAATATTCAGTTTTGCAGTCACAATAGCCACATTTCAAGTGCTTAGTGATTAGGAACTATACATGACATACTCGACTAACATGTTGAACATTACAGATAATAGAACTTTTAAGTAATTCAGAAAGCTTTGTTGCCCAGTATGGATATATTAATAGATGTTTTGATTTCCTTTAGCCTTGATTTTTTTTTTTTTTTTGGAGAGGTTTTTGCTACAGAGAGAGATAGTGGGACAGAAAGCAAGAAATCACCCCCCGGGGGGGTGGCCACGCCGCAATCCCTTCTCCTCCATTCTCTCGGCATCTTGGGCACGCACGCACACGTGCCCGGCATGAGTTTAAGCCACTGGGTCCAGGACTCCAAGTGCGGTCGACTACATGGGAGTCCAGTGACATAGCCATTACACAAACTGCTGGTCCCAAGCCTCGATTTTTAAAATGTTCTATAGCATTAGGAAAAACCGAGAACTGAAATAAGCAGGAATAGTGTTGTCTTAGCATAACAGTTGTCATCATTTTATGTGTTGATGTATAGTTTTGTCCTTAATATTGAACAGTTTGAATTGTGGAGAATATTTTAATGTAATATAAAGTAATACTCATTTTTCTGTTCTTGCTCTTGAAACTGTCCTTAAAGATTGGTCTCAAACAAGTTAAATATTTAGTTTTGGATGAAGCTGATCGCATGCTGGATATGGGTTTTGGACCAGAAATGAAGAAGTTAATTGCTTGCCCAGGACTGCCATGCCATCGAAAGAACAACGTCAAACTCTTATGTTCAGTGCAACTTTTCCAGAAGAAATTCAAAGGTAATTTTTTTTCTTTTTAAAAATAATATTCTTGTGAGACTAGCAGATGACATGAAAATTAAGGTGCTGGATTCCCACATGGTTGACGGTGGTTTGAGTCCAGGACCAGGCATCTTGAAAATCACACCATGTGTCTGTGCGTGTATACCCAAAATCCTAAGAGGAGAATGGAGGATAAGGGACTGAGGCATGGCCATCTGGGAGGTGATTTCTCACTTTCTTTCTCTCGGTTTCCAGTAAATACACATACCCTATTACAGAAACCTGAAACAATAATGATAATAATAATAATATTGCTGTTGCATAAATACATGTATAAAAGTAGAAACCATGTGAAGATACTATTTTTTTTTTAAAAGATTTATCTCTGCACACCCGTCCTATAAGGTGCTCTGTACTTGCTGGAGAGAGAGAGAGAGAGGAAGTGAGAAAATATCACCCAGGGAGATGGCTACACCACAATTCCCTTCTCCTCTGTTCTTCCCTTGGAATTATGCTTTCAAAAGCTACCAGTTCTGAGATTCAACATGGACAATCAGCTATGTGGATTCCAGCTGCCTTCACCACCACACTACTGGCTGGCCCTGATTTAAGTTTTAACATAGGCAGATTAAAAATCAAATGTATTCCTAAAACGTTTACTACATTTTTCATTGTTTCTTACCCTTATTTTCTTGGCTTTGCATTAGGATCACATTTTATTTAAAAATGGGAGCGTGTGGGCCAGCAGATATTAAGAGTGGTTGAGGCATTGGACTCCCACATGGTTGATCATGGTTCAGATTCTGGACCTGGCAGCTTGCTTTCTCTCTCTCTCATTAGCACACATGTCCTATAGCAAATTAAAAATAAATAAATAAATAGATAGATAGTTTTTAAAAACTGTGTGTGTATAACTATTAAAAAAAAAAGTGTGTGTGTATGTGCATGTGCGTGCACGTGCGTGTGTGCAGTTGGAGTCTCGGACCTGGCAGCTCGATAACCACTCTGGGTGCCTGTGTGTGTATTCCCAAAATCCCAGGAGGAGAGTGAAGGATAAAGGATTGCAGTGTGGCCATCCCTCCCAGGGGTCATTTCTCACTTTCTCTCTCTCTCTCTTTCTGGTGAGTGCACATACCCTATAACAATAATATTTTTTCTTTGAAGGTTGGCTGGGGAGTTTTTAAAGATTAATTACTTGTTTGTTGCTGTTGGACAAGTGGGCGGAGCATGTAGAGATGTTCTACAGAGTGTTCTCCAAGTTGGCCAGTACTCGAAAAGAGAAAAACTTGTTGAAATTCTCCAAAACAGAGGTGATGAAAGAACTATGATCTTTGTTGAAACTAAGAAAAAAGAAGATTTCATTGCAACTTTTCTTTGTCAAGAAAAAATATCAACTACATCTTTAAATTGACAAAATTATTTTTGTCATGACTTTCTGATTAAAAAAATGCCTAGTTTTTAAAAAATCATTAAAAAATTCTTTGGCATGACTTTTAGTATGTTTGTTTTAATTGTTTCTTCTTCATCTAAGGCTTTTTTTTTTTTTAAGCTATTTTTGTCATATAACACATGTACTTGCCAGAGAGACCAAGAGACAGAAAGCAAGAAATCAACCCCTGGGGGGATGGCTATATTGCAGTTCCTTCTCCTCCACACTCCTCTCAGGATTCTGGGTATGCATGTACATGTGCCTGGTTTGAGTACCAAGTCAATGGATCTGGTACTCAAACTGTGGTCGACCACACGGGAGTCCAGTGACATTTTGCTATCTGCTGGTCCCCATCTAAGGCTTTTTAAATAAAATATTTTGATTTTATTTTCTGTGTGAATTATAAAAACAAGTTCTCCATAAAGTAGGAAGGATAAGAGACTAAGTTTAACAGTATTTGAATAAAAAATGATTTCATTTGTATTTTATTGTTTCAGAAAGCTAGAAATGCTTAGGAGTTAACACATCTTTACATCACTCTTACTTTGCCAAAAGTGAATTCTTAATTCTATGTTTCTGGTTCTCAGTTTTGTTTTTTGTTTTGAGAAGTTTTTGCTATAGGGCATGTGTGCTCACCAGAAAGACAGAGAGAGGCAGAGAGACAGAAAGTGAGAAATCACCCCCCTGGGGGATGGCCACGCTGCAATCCCTTCTCCTCCTTTCTCCTCTCGGAATCTTGGGCATGCATGCACACGTGCCTAGTGTGAGTTTAAGCCACCAGGTCTGGAACTCGAACCGCGGTCGACTACATGGGAGTCCAGTGGCATAGCCATTACGCCAACTACTGGTCTCCGGTTCTCGGTTTTTGTTCCCTAAGGCTTCCCACATCCATAGATACAAAGAATTTTAGAGTAGGAAGTGATTTAAGATGTAGTCTGTTCCTTCATAATACCTATGAGAAATCCCCTTTTCCAAAAAGCCACCTAATTTTTACTTTAATTTTTAAGGAAAGTCATATTTTTTGTTTAAGATAGCCTTACTTATTTTTAAAAATTCATAATAGAATGAATATACATTCACAAGAAGGAGAGAGAAGCTCCTTCCACAGCACTTGGGCAAGCTGGGATCCCCTTCCTGAGCAGCACAGTCATGCATGCCTGATATGTTTTCAGGCTGACTGGACTGGGAACTGTAACTGAGTGGCATGTGGCTCCCAGCTCTTTGTCTAGCATGCTTATTGACTGCCACAGAGCCTGGGCCACAGTAGCCTAATGTTTAAGTGGAAAATGAAATTTTTCAGATATGATCATTTCAATACCTTCTTGTTATGTTACATGTACTTTCCCCATCCACCTCTCCCATTTTAGTTCTGCTATTTTAGTTCAAATATCAGTATTGGAAAAAAAAGGAAATGAGAGAGAACAGGAAATCACCTAACCTGAAACAAATAGAAGGGTGATTTAGGAAGCACATTAAGACTTCCAGTCTTCAGTTTGTGCTGCATTTTATCTTTTAAAAATCTTTTTAAAATCAAATACTCATCTTGAGTCTTAGAAATTTTATTGATTCACTTCATATGATGTTTCATAACATATACTAATAGAATATAAAAATAAAAATAATAGGTATAGGCTATGTGCTATTCTAATTTTTATGTATGTTGACTCATTTCATTCTCAAAACAACCTTGTGAGGTAGGTTTGTTGTTGTCCCCATTTTAGGGATGAGGAAACTTAAATACAAGAGGTCAAGTAACTTTCCCAGTGTATGTTGAGGCTCCAAATGTAGAAGAGATGAGCACTCTCTGGTTTTGCTGAAGTTAGAACATATTTCTATTCTAGTCACCTTAAAAGTCTTTTATAAATGAACTTTTGGAATAAAATTTATTTTGAGAATAATCCAAAGAAAGAGAGTTTTTCAGAAGTGCTGGTTTGCCCTTGAGAAAGGTAAGTGGATATGAGTTCTATTGATACACTTCTGTGTTATTGACATAGCTTTACATCTTTGTAGTTTAGGGTTTGTTCTCATGTCTTTCAAAACTTTGCATGGAATATCCATTCAGTATATTCTCAAGTTTTATGTATTTTTGTTCATATAATTTCTTTTTCTACTGCTTTACTTAATTATATTAGCCTTTCCCTTTTTGCCTTCAAAATGCATAGATTTTATTATTTGAGTAGTATAACATAATGTTTTTTTCATAATTTTAATTTAATACAACGTGGATGGAAGATTTTATTGAACTTGGTAGTTACTGAAAGAACTAGTAAGGTATTATAGTTAGTTTAGAAAATTCAAAGAGCATGTGAGTGTGTACATTACTAGGATGTTAAAATTAATTTACAAATAGATGTCAAATGGTCAGTGTCCATTGGCAATAATCAGTACTTCTGAGGATAAAACTTCATTAGGATTTTTACTGAGAATCATCTGCATTGTTGTCATTTGCAGTATTATAAAATTTAAAGAAAAAGATCATAGAGGGTACCAGAACCCCAAAGGTGTGTCAGACAATAATCTTTTGCTCATTTTAAAGCCTTTCACAATTTTTCCTGACAGTCATTATCACTTCATGATTACAATAAACTCAGTGATGAGTCTTGATCACGAAAGAAGTTGGTTTATTATGCTTGGTTTGCTTACTTGCATTGGTGCAGTAAGACCATTCATTAAAAATAGAGGCCTCTTTCCATTTGTTTTGCAAATCTAGAGCCACACTATAGTATTGCACAGTTTCTAAAGTCACAAAATTACATTATAAAGTTTTTGTGATCTCAGAGTGAGCATTTTATAACCTCTACTATTTGCTATCTTAAAGATAGGAAACTAAGACTAGGAACTCTTACCAGATTTCACAGGTAATACCTAGAAATTTGGGTGAATTCCTCTCTTCCAAAGGTCCCCTAGATTTCCCAAGGTTCTTGGCTTATCAGGAAGTGTGGCCTGTTTTATAAACATCTAAATATTTGAGTCATTGAGGCCAAATTATAAGGCCAGCCTAACTTATGTAGGAGGGCTTTGCAGATATTCTGTAAGGAAAGCCTAACTTTGTTCCTTGAAAATATGGTCCTAGCTACTGTGCCATTCTCGATTAAGAGCTCCAGGTAAGACCTTAGTTGCGTAATCAACTTGTTCAGTTATATCCAGGTAAAAGAGGGAGGACAGGTTGTTGCTAAACTGCAGCTAACCACACTACATGAAAAGAAGAAAACTGGGGACCAGCAGGTGGTGTAGTGGTTAAGACACTGGACACCCAGATGGTCAACCATGGTTCCAGTCCCAGACCTGGTGACTTGAAGCTCATGTCAGGTGCACATGTGTAAGTGCCCAAAATCCCAAGAGGATAATGGAGGAGAAGGAACTGTGATGTGGCCATCCCCCCTGGAGGGTGATTTCTCATTTTCTCTCTCTCTGTCTCTCCAGCAAGCACTGTGCCATATAGCAAAAACTTTTCAGGAAAAGAAAAGAAAGAAACTGGTGTTTATGAACTTGGGTTGGGTAGAGTGTCAGTAAGAAGTGAGATCAAATACTACTTAAAAAGTTTCATTTTAGTGTATAAAATCAAAGTCTACTAAATAGTAATGGGTTTTTAGCTAGCCAAAGAAGAAAAAACACTTCCTTTTTTTTGGGGAGAGGTTTTTCACTATAGGGCGCGTGCGCTCGCCAGACAGACAGAGAGAGACATAGAGACAGAAAGCGAGAAATCACCCCAGGGGTGATGGTCACGCCGCAATCCTTTCTCCTTCATTCTCCTCTCGGAATCTTGGGCATGCACGCACACGTGTCCGGCGTGAGTTTTAAGCCACCAGGTCCGGGACGTGAACTGCGGTCGACTATGTGGGAGTCCAATGACATAGCCATTACACTAACTGCTGGTTCCCAAAAAACACTTCTAATATATCCAGGAAATAGATTATGAAAATAATAATAATTCAAACAAATGGCCACAGTAATTTTCCTAGTAGGTCATACAGTCCTTATGTAATTTGTATTTCATCATCTGTTAGGGTCTACTTTTATGACTGGCTGTTTCTGGATTAGTCCTAGAAATTTTGCTTGGTCCAGTGATAATAGTCTGAAATTTGTTAAAGCAATGCAACTTAGAACTTTCTACCCAAGACTCTATTTTTTTAAGTATTAATACTTTGAAGTGTCTGGTGTGATCCTTTCCCACAAGGCTCAGTGGTCCTTTTTTAAGATACAAACTGATCTGTAGCTTATAGCACAGCCTTCAGGCAATCATCAGAAGAAAACAAAAATTCTTCAAGAACCAACACCTGGTTCCTACAATCTGTAAGACAGAAGAGAAAGACTCAGGCAGGAGCTGTGCCCCACATGTGCTGACACCATTCTGCCTTCACCCATCCAGGAACAACAAGGAGACACAAGGCTTGAGCTCATCAGGGACTCCCACCCAGCCTGTTTTGGGGGAGGAGGGGCAGCACACATTTGAAAAAGATCCTACCACCTTACATTCTATCTATCCAGCTCAACTTCCAGCCACATTGGGAACACAAAGGTTTGGGTATACAGAAACCAAACACCTGAAGACATGAGACTCTGGAGGAATTGTCTCTTCACAACCCCCTAACAGTAAAAGAAGAAAAATTTCCCCTTGAAAATCTGAACCCAGAACTCCTACTGTGGATTCTGCACTCCCATTCACAGCACAGAAGGGAGACTGGCACAGAGCTTACGCACACCATAGGGAAGGGCATGAGCACACAGCTACAGAAATATATTCCATACAAGTAGGAATTGAATATGACTAAAATCAAAGCAGAGCCCCAAGAAATAGAAAACCAGGAAATACCTGCCCCTCAAGGGAACATAACTCTTTACCAACAATGGATAAAGCACGAAAGATCACAGAAATGTTGG